AAAAACAATGAACTACAAAGAGAGGGGAAAAAAATGACCTCAACATAATAAAAGCCATATATGAAAAGCCCACAGCTAATATCATACTCAGTGAGGAAAGAGTGAAAGCTTTTCCTCTAGTATCAGGAACAAAGCAAGGATATCCACTCCCAGCATGGCTATTCAATATTGTACTGATGTTCTAGCCAGAGCAATTACTCCAAACCAAAAAAAAAGGCATACAAGTTGGACAAGCACTAAAATTATTCTGGTTTGCAGATGACATCATATTATACATAAAAAACTCTAGATTCCACACACACAAAAACCTGTTAGAATTAATGTATGAATTAAACAGAGCTGCAGGATATAAAACCAACACTCAAAATCAGTTGCATTTTATATAGAAATGAGGAGATTGAATTTTTATTCCATTTTATATAGAAATGCAACTGATTTTGAGTGTTGGTTTGAGTGTTGGTTTTACATCCTAACAATGACCAATCCAAAAAGGAAATTAGAAAGGGAATCTCTTTTTACAATAGCATCAAAAAAGAAAAAATACTTAGGAATAAACTTAACCAAAGAAGTTAAAGACTTGCACATTGAAAGCTACAAAGCGTTGCTAAAAGAAAGCAAAGATAATAAAAATAAAGGGAAAGCCATTTCATGTTCATGAGCTGGAAGACTTCAGACTACTTAAATGCCTATACCATTCAAGCAATCTGCGAACTCAATGGAATTCCTACCAATATGTGAATGACATTTTTTGCAGACATAGAAAAAAATTCTTATAATTTATATGGAATCTCAAGGACCCCAAACAGCCAAAATAACCTTGAAATGAAAATAACAAACTTGCGGAGTCTTCACAGTACCAGATTTCAAAACACTACACAGTAATTAGGATGATATGGTACTCGCATAAAGATGAATATATCGACCAATGAAGAGACAGCCCACAAGTAAACCTTGCATGTATGGCCAAATGATTTTTTTTTAAAGGTTTTACTTATTTATTTGACAGACAAGAGATCACAAGTAGACAGAGAGGCAGGCAGTGAGAGACGGGGAAGCAGGCTCCCTGCTGAACAGAGAGCCCAATGCAGGGCTCGATCCCAGGACCCCAGGATCACGACCTGAGCCGAAGGCAGAGGCTTTAACCCACTGAGCCATGGCGGTGCCCCGCCAAATCATTTTCAAGAACAGTGCCAAGACTATGCAATAGGGAAATGACAGTCTCTTCAACAAATGGTGTTGGGAAAGCTGGAGAGCCACATGCAAATAATGAGGTTTGACTCTTATCTTACACCACATACAAAAATTACTCAAAATGAATTAAAGACCTAATTATAAGAGGCATGTGAGTTGCTTAGTCGGTTAAATGTGTGCTTTTGGCTCAGGTCATGATCTCGGGGTCCTGGGATCGAGCCCATGCTGGGCTCCCTGCTTAGCAGGGAGGCTGCTTCTCCCTCTCCCTCTCCGCCTGCTCATGCTCTCTCTCTCTCTCTCTCTCTCAAATAAATAAATAGAATTGTAGAAAAATAAAAAGACCTAAATGTAAGACCTAAACTTTTTAGACTCCTGGAAGAACATCAGGGAAAAGCTTCAGGATGCTGGAGTCAATAAAGATTTCCTGGACATATACCAAAGTACAGGGAAAAAAAATCAACATTAGAAGTGGGAATATATCTGGGCGCCTGGGTGGCTCAGTCAGTTAACTGTCCATCCAACTCTCGATGTCGGTTCAGGTCTTGACTTCAGAGTTGTGAGTTCAGGCCCTGTGTTGGGCTCCACACCGGGTGTGCAGCCTACTTAAAGAAAAAAGAAAGAAAGAAGGAAAGAAAGAAAAGAAAAAAATGGGAATATATCAAACTTAAAATTTTGCACCAAAGGAAATAATCAACAGAATGAAAAGGTAACCTATGGAATGGGAGAAAATACTTGCCAATCATATATCTGATAAGGAGTTAATGTCCAGAATATACAGGAGAATTCTACAACTCAACAACAAATTAAAAAACGGGCAAAGGATCCAAATAGACATTTCTCCAAGTATGATACACAAATGGCCAAAAAGCACATGAAAAGATGTTCCACATCTCTTATCATTTCAGAAATACAAGTCAAAACCACGATGAGATACTTTACACCCATTAGGACGGTCACCATCAAAAGAACAGAAACTAACAAGCCCTAGAGAAGCAATGGAGAAGTTGAAACCCTTGTACATTCTAAGTGCAAAGATAAAATGATATATCCAATTTGGAAAAGAGTATGCAGGATCCTTGAAAAATCAAAAACAGAATTACCATATGATTAAGAAATTTTATTTCTGGGTATGTATCTAATGTAATTTAAAGCAGGATCTCAAAGAGTTATTTGTACACCTGTGTTTGTCACAGCATCATTTACATTCCGAAGAGGTGGAAGCAATCCAAATGTCCATCAACAGATGGACAGATAAAGAAAAGGGAGTATATGCACAAAACGGAATATAATGTAGTTTTAAAAGAGGGGACTTCCCGTCATATGCTACAACATCGATGAACCCTGAAGACATTATGCTAAGTGAAATAAGCCAGGCACAAAAGGACAAATGCTGTATGATTCCATTCATAGGAAGTATTTCTCAAAAGTAGTTGGTCATAGAAATAGGAAATAGAAAGGTGTTTACCAAGGGCTGGGGGGCAGGGGGAGCTCGTGTTTAATGGGTATAAAGTTTTAGTGTTACAAAATGAAAAGATTCCAGAGATTTGTTGTACAACGTGAATATACTTAACACTACTGGACTGTACACTTAAAAATGGTTAGTTAAGATGAGGGGGATGCCTGGCTGGCTTAGTTGGTGGAGCATGTGACTCTTGATCTTGGGGTTTTGAGTTCGAGTCCCACAATGCGTGTAGAGATTTTTTCTAAAACAATAAAATCTTAGGGGCGCCTAGGTGGCTGAGTCGGTTAAGCCTCTGACTTGTAGCTCAGGTCATGATCTCATGCCTGCTGGGATGGAGCCCCGTGCTGTTGGGCTCTGTGCTCAGCAGGGAGTCTCCTTTAAGATTCTCCCCCTCTGCTCCTCCCTAACCCCCCCCCGAAATAACTAACTAAATCCTTACAAAAAATAAAACAAAAAAAAATGGTTAAGATGGGCTCTCTTGGGGGCTTACTTTCAAGATGACCAAGAAAAGAAGGAAAAATGGTTGTGTCACAAAGGGCCGTAGCCATGTGTGGCCTATTCAGGGTACCAACTGTGTAGTTGCGGGCCGAAGTCCAGGCCATTGAGAAGTTTGTTATTCGGACCACAGTACAGACCCCCGCCATCAGGGGCATTTCCAAAGCAAATAGGTCTGCTAGACCTATGTCTGTCCCAAGCTGTCTGTGAGACTACGTTACTGCCCAAGCTGCGCCATTCCCAGCAAGCTATTCCAGAAGCTCTCCTGAAGCACGGAAGGGCCCGACACCCTCACCAATTTAGACCCGTGGGTGTTACCTCACCACCCCCACCAAAGCCCACATAAGGAGCTAAGTCCTTAAGCACTGAAGAAAAACTGTTCTCCGAAAAAAAATAAAATAAAATGGAGATTATACTTTTTAAAAAAATGGTTAAGAGGCTCAATTTAATGTTATATGCTTTTTGATCACAAAAACAAAATGAAATTTAAAAAATAATACTTTGGGACAAAATATTTATAAAAGACATATCTGATAAAAGGCTGTTAACTAAAATATTAAGAAAAACTTTTAAAACTCAACAATAAGAAAATGAGCACTCTGATTCAACAATGGGTACAGTCTTGACTAGACAACCTCATGAAAGAAGATATTCAGATATCAAGGATGCATATGACGAGATGTTGAACACCGTTATGTCATTCGGGAAATGCAAATTAAAATAAAAATGGGATACCATTACAAACCTATTAGAATTGCCAAAATCCAAAATACTGACAACAAATGTTGGCCAGGATGTGGAGAACCGGGAACTCCCACTGGGTGCCAATGGGAATGCAAAATGAAAAGCCTCTTTGGAGATAGCTTGGCAGCTTCTTACAAAATTAAACATGCTTTTACCAAACAATCCAATAAGCACACTCCTTGATATTTACCCAAATAAATTAAAATCTTATGTCCATGCAAGAACTCGAATATGGGGCACTTGGGTGGCTCAGTGGGTTAAGCCTCTGCCTTCGGCTCAGTTCATGATCTCAAGGTCCTGGGATCCAGCCCCGCATCGGGCTCTCTGCTCAGTGGGGAACCTGCTTCCCCCCACCCCTCCTGCTTCCCTCTCTGCCTACTTGTGATCTCTGTCAAATAAATAAAATCTTTAAAAAATGAAATAAAATAAATAAGAACTTGGCTGGTAGTAAAAGATGCTACTGTCTTGGCATTCTCATGCATGGCTGGTGGAGTGTAAAATGGCACAGCTGCTGTGGAAAACAACTTGGTGGTTCATGAAAAAGTTGAACACAGAACTACCACATCATGTAGCGGTTCTACTAAGTATATACTGCAAAGATCTGAAAATAGGTGATCAAACAAAAACTTGACCGTGAATATTCATACCAGCAATGCTCCTAATAGCCAACAGGTGGAAAAACCCCCAAAGGTCCATCAACTGATGAATGGATAAAGCAAAGGTGGTGTAACTGTATGATGGGATATTTAGCCATAAAAAGCAGGAATTGCTAATATATGCTGTAGTAAGAAGAGACCTTGAGAACATTGCAATAAGTGAGAGAAGGCAGACACAAAAGGCCACGCAGTGTTGGATTCCATTTATATGAAATAATCTAGAATAGGTAAATCCATAGAGACAGAAAGAGGATTAGTGGTTGCCAGGGCCTGGGGGAAGGAGGAATGTGGCATGACTACTTAATGCCTATGGGGGTTACCTTTTGGGGTGATGAAAATGTTCTGGAACTCGAAAGTGTTGACGGTTGCATAACAACATGAATATACTCAATTGTGTATTCTAAAATGCTGTGTTTTACCACAATTTAAAAAAAAACGAACTACAAAAATACCTTGATTTTTTCACTCTCTTTTCTCACTCGCTTTGCATTTTCAATAATGTAAACAGTGCTCTTGTTGACTTCATTGTCAGCTCTGTGTCTTAGCCAATCCTCATATCCCTAGAATAAAAACAACTACAGTCAAGCTCACATAATGCAGTGAAGTTAATAAATTTCTATATCCCCCTCTATGAATCACCAGCAGATATTTACACGGATAGATTAATCGCAACTCACAGTGCTAAAGAGACAACATTGTTCATTTTTACAGCAAAAACTAAGATACGCTTTCAAAATAGCTCTTAGGCAAATAGCTTTACCGTTGAAAGGTTTCTCCATTCTACAGATAAGTATTAATGAAAACACAGGCATCAGAACCTTAATATTCTTCAAATGTGAAAGGCTATGATTTATTCTTCTAATTCTACTCTTATTCAAGTTAATGTTAATTTATCTACTTTTTCATGTGACCATTTTTTTCCCTGGGTTTTATTTTCTAGCTCTAATCACTTAAATATATTCTTCTGTAGTAGACTGTTGGGAGTGGTCATTGCTGAGGAAATCTAATTCCTCCCCAGGGACAGAGAATTGAAAAGGCAAGTTAGGGTTATTTTTGACACAGAATCCACAACAAGTTTTGGAAGCCAAGAGTTAAACTTCTCCACTGGTAGTAAAGGAAACCATAAACTGGTGTTCATTTTTTAGAGTTAAAAGTAATCAGGGAAAGGTCTAATGGCTCATTTTAGTCTGGGTTTTTTGTATGAAGTAAATTTAAGCCAAAAGAACTAAGGAAAGAGGATGTTCATTTGTTTGAGCATGACCTCTTCTCCTTTTTTACATCACATTGCTTTTTTTCTTTAGAATAATGTCTGTACCTTTTCAAATGGAACTGTTTGAAAAAAATCTCTTGATCGCCTTCTGCTTTTTTCTCCAATGCTATATTCATTCCTGTTCTGTCCCTCTTTATGACAATGCTAGGCTATCACTTCCTATGGCACTTTCTGTGATGTCAGTGAGGAAAGAGAGGCACTAAGATGAACTAGTATAGAGAGTAAAATGAATCAGTAAGAGCTTTTGTAAGCCATACAGGCTATTCTTGGAACCAGCAATTCTATGATGTTAAAGAAAATAATCCTAACAGCCTAAGGGAAAGAACATTCCAGAAGTCTTTATTTAGCAACCAAACACTTGATAAAATATTCTTGCAGTTTCCGGTAGGCAAGATAGAAGACCAGATAACCCCAAGAGGAAAGGTAACCTTGTTCAAAATTCTATGAAACAGACCTTCATTTTCGAAGTTCTTGAGGATAGTTTTTAAAGCTCTTTGGTAAGTTACTCTCTAAAAGTATGTCTGCCATCAGTCAGGTACTATGGACTGTCCCAATACATGATAAATGTTGCTAACCCACCCTTTACCTCCTGCTTCCCTTTTCCACTTTCAATTTCATGTGGAATTTTTCAAAGGTACTATCATATAAAAGGGTCAAAATATTTCCAAGTCATCAGCATCAGAAACCATGGCAATTGTCAGCGTTGATGAAAAGCGAGAATAAGTGTCCTCTGCCCACCACCCACTTCAGCAGCATCATGGAAGAAAACAAACACCAAGTACTTGGACTCTTGAGTTCTCTGCTTTAGGCGACAACAACAAAAATTTACCACACTGGGAATTTTTCAGAAAGACAGAACACACTGAAAAAAACTTAGATACATTAAAAATTCACCTCTCGGGGTGCCTGGGTGGCTCAGTGGGTTAAAGCCTCTGCCTTCGGCTCAGGTCATGGTCTCAGGGTCCTGAGATCGAGCCCCGCATCAGGCTCTCTACTCAGCAGGGAGCCTGCTTCCTCCTCTCTCTCTCTCTCTCTCTCTCTCTGCCTGCCTCTCTGCCTACTTATGATCTCTCTCCCTCTCTCTCTCTGTCAAATAAATAAATAAAATATTTTAAAAAAATTCACCTCTCATCTCCTGACTGAGCTGTACCTTCTACCTTCTTTCTTTTAGGGTTACAAACCCAGAACACAAATACTAAGGGGAAAAAAAAGGCAAAAGAAATTAAAGAAGTACCTTATGGTCATTTTAATGTTTTCCATAGGAATCAAGGATGCTGCCCACTCTACATAAAAATGAAAAAGGACCTTTGGCAATGAAATTCAAACCAGATGGGACTGAAATGCAGGCATAATTGTACATAAGAAATTTACCTGCTTGATGGCTGTAACAGTTATAACAAAGAAGAGTGGGAGTCCACTGGTAACTGGGCTAGTCGGTGTGTCCACTGTGACCTAGGTAAAGAAATTAAATTGAATGTAAAAGGAACATATGCCATTCGCTCATATACAGGGCTCATGATGCAACCATTTCAGGCAGAAATACAGACAAGACGTATCCTGGTAGCAGGGTCAATGTTAACTTTCATTAAAACAAAAGCAATCCACAGAGCAATTAGTGTAAAGAAACAGTTCTAATTCAGGCTTAGGTTTCATTCCAGTTTGGATTAATGCCCTCCACGAAACAGAAGCAATCATTTACCATCTCTTTGTCGAGTACCATTCTTTCAGGCCCTGTGCTATCATCAGCCAGGCTCTAGAGATGCTGCTTTGAGTAAGACAGAGAAATGTCCCTGCCCTCGTAGAGCTGGCAGCTTACAGGAAAACAGGAAAACCGTCAACCAAGTGAACCACTGAAATCTAGAGAGTAAAGCAGAGTTAACTGCACGAAGGCCAGGCTTCCGGGCAGGCACAGAGGACAGCACAGACAACGTCTCTACGGTAGGAGGCGGGGGGGGGGGTGGTGGGGGGGGGAATGCATGTCAAAAAAATAAAGGAAGCCAGAGGCAGGAGAGAGTGTGGTGTAAGATGGGGCTGGAGATGGGGACAGAGGCTAGAGTTCATTGTTTATCCCACAGTCGGAAGTAACTAGAGCTTTCAGGCAAGGAGCAGTCCCAGGAACAGAATTACATTTCCAGAAGATCATCCTCCTGGATTTGTGGAAGTTCTTTCCATGTCTGTTGCTATCCCCCTTGTCCAAGCCATCACCTTGTTTGTACCCCATAGCAGTAGACTCCCACATAGGAATGGGGTGCCTGGGTGGCTCAGTCGGTTAAGTGTCTGCCTTCGGCTCAGGTCATGATCCCAGGGTCCTGGCATTGAGCCCTGCATCGGACTCCCTGCTCAGCAGGCAGCCTGCTTCTCCTCCTCCCTCTGCTGCTCTGCCTGCTTGTGGTCTCTCGTTCTCTCTAATAAATAAAATCTTTAAAAAAAAAAAAAAGTACGAATGACAAGGAATTTCTTGTCAGGGGTGATGAGAGATGACTCTTCTAAGTGTCTGGTGAACATGACTGGGTCGATGTTGTTGTCATTCACTTAAACAACAAATACCAAGAGAGAGGACGAGATCTGAGGGACAGAGGACCATGGGTTCACTCTGCCCTGGCAACTCACTCTCATCTCTATCCCCACCTGGGCCAGGCTCTGCCACATGCCCCGAGTTAGAGATACACGCTTTTATGTGGCTGTGGGCCTTCATGCACAGCCCAAGATATCCATCTGGCATTCTTCACCAGGTTAACTTGCTCTAATCTTTCAAGGCTTAATTCAGGTATCATCTACTCTTTGAAGTCTTCTTAAGCTCCTCTTGGCTAGAAAGACCTATGAACTCCCACTGTACCCCACAGCATGTTGCTCATGCGACTTTTATGACTTGTACTGCATGAAATTAAATGGGTGGGGCGCCTGGGTGGCTCATTGGGTTAAGCCTCTGCCTTTGGCTCAGGTCATGATCTCGGAGTCCTGGGATCGAGTCCCGCATCGGGCTCTCTGCTCAGTGGGGAGCCTGCTTCCCCCTCTCTCTTTGCCTGCCTCTCTGCCTACTTGTGATCTTTCTCTGTGTCAAATAAATAAATAAAATCTAAAAAGAAAAAAGAAATTAAATGGATATATGAGTGTAACATACATTCCTTAAGGACAGAAAAACCCTGTCTTAATCTTCGTTATCTGGAAAACCCCAAGGCACACAGTAGGTGGTTGATATACATCCACTGAACCAAACTGAACTGTGCTGCACACGACAAAGAATGACTCTCCTGGGCATAATTTTGTATGGTTTATTTTATGCTATTTGTAAGGTATCTTACCATGGATCTAGGGTAGCTCCTTTTCAAATGCCCCATCATTTGAGACTGAAATTAGCTCTTTCCCATATCACAACCCAGATTGGTTTTAAGCAGCAGGGCTAAATTAAATTACAGTACCATTTACTCAAAGCCTCAAAGTGGATAAACAGAAGCACTTAACATTAACAAGGCATTTGAGCAATTTCATTGGGAGGATGTTTCTGCTTCGTTTAAAAAATGAAATGTGGGAAAAATATCCTTACTGTAATAAAATTTTTGGGGGGTAATTTTGGTGAGGGAAAACTTGTAATAGCTCATAGTCTTAAAGGTGGAAGAGGCAACTAAGATGTCTAAAATTTAAAACACAAAACATTAGCAGAAACATAGAGAAGATCAAATCTATCAGGCTTTTACACGTAAAGTAAATGAATGAGGAAGAGCAAAACTGGTATCAGGAAGAAAAGTGATAAATTTTCAATTAAGCTGAATCTGGTGTTTAATGAAGTAAAACTATTAATCTGAACTATTTTAAACTTTAATATATGTCATTGTATTTAATGATACACAATATATGTCCTTCTAGGATGAACAAAGATACAAAGTCTATGATAAAGTTTTTAAAGTAACAAATTCTCAACAGGTTTTCTAGTAAAAATGCTACTTTTGGAAATATGTAAAATCATATAAATCTTAAACTATAATATTAGTACTTTACAAAGTTTTATTAAAACAGGTCCTGAAACACCTTTTTAGACACAGGGCATTTTAAAGTTAGAAATGGACTGAAAATTTGTTTGGAGTAATTAAGTTTCTAAAAGGGGAATGGTTGTTTGTAGAACTCTTACCTGAACAAGGAAAATGATGAGAAAATAAAAATTTGCAATTCTTCTAAACTGTTCAAATAGATTCTTTGGGAGGAAATTCCAAAGTGTATACTATATGGGAGGAAGGAAAAAAAAGTATTATTAGAAGGAAAACGTGAAAAACCCTAGTAACAACTTATATGGGCCAGATTATCAAAATACTTTGAAAACATGTTAAAACCCACACCTCACACATACAAATAAGCATACACTTAGAGGTATACTATATAAGAAATGAAGTTTTCATTTGCAGCATCACAGTTGGGTCATCTAGTCCCCAACTTCTGCTTTCCCTGACCTGATCTAAATTAGGTTCCTTGTCAGGCGTTCTCACGTCACTCTATACTTCCTTAATAATACTCGTTACAGTGAATAACCATAGGATGTGTGCACTTTTTATTAAAGTTTCTCCCTCAATAGGCAATACGTTTCATAAAGACAGGCTGTTCGTCTTCTTATTACTTTTCTCCCAACACCTAGCAGACACAAAGACACTCAATAAATTAGCTGGATGAATGAACAAACAAATTAATCCCTCTGGCTCAGCTAACCACTGGAGTCTGATCACCATCACTGATATAACTCTGTCCCTATCATCAACGCCCCCCTCCACCTCTGAGACAGCTGAGGTGTACTCGTCACCCTGGGTCATGAAGGGCTTTCACTTTAATCAACAACACACCACACTGGGCTTTGGTAACTGGTAACAGGTTAAAGGTTCAATGCTAAGTAGTACGTGGGCAGAAGAAAACTCTTGGGCCAACTGCTGAATCACATAGACTTTCTCACTAATATCTTAAGCTCAAGGACAAAATCATTTAAAAATCCCCATGAGAGGGGCACCTGGGTGGCTCTGTGGGTTAAAGCCTCTGCCTTCGGCTCAGGTCATGATCCCAGGGTCTGGGATCCAGCCCCGCATCGGGTTCTCTGCTCCACAAGGAGCCTGCTTCCTCCTCTCTCTCTGCCTACTTGTGATCTCTGTCTGTCAAATAAATAAATAAAATCTTTTAAAAAAATCCCCACGAGAAGGTGAATTTTCTAGATATCTTAATAAAGACCAGAAACCAGAAAGAAAGGTTTCTTAACCTAAAAGATCTAAATTTACAATTAAACGATCTCCACCACAAATATGGTGAGAAAAAATCCATTAAATTAGGTAAGGTGAGGGGCGGCTGGGTGCCTCAGTGGGTTAAAGCCTCTGCCTTCGGCTCAGGTCATGATCCCAGGGTCCTGGGATCGAGCCCCGCATCGGCTCTCTGCTCAGCAGGGATCTTGCTTTTCACTCTCTCTCTGTCTTCCTCTCTGCCTACTTGTAATCTGTGTCATCAAATAAATAAATAAAATCTTAAAAAAAAATAAATTAGGTAAGTTGACTGAAATGCCACAGTTGCAGAGCATGACACAATATATGTGAATTTACTACTAACCTCTCTTATGGGCTCAGGATTCAGGGAATCCCAAGGAAATGAAGATAAATGAAGGCAAACATATTCAGTAAAGGAACTGCATTACAACCTAACATGCCAACCCAGAAGGTTCTTCGCCCAGGATTCATGGAAGTGCCTTAAGGAAGGTCATTCAAAATGAACTACAAAATTACAGTGAGATAGCACCTCACACCTATCACGATGGTTAAAACAGAAAACACAAGAAACAATGGGTATTGGTGAGGATGCGGAGAAAAAGGAACTGTTCCTCTTGCACTGTTGGTGGGAGTGCAAACTGGTGAAGCCACTGTGGAAAACAGTATGGAGGATCCTCAACAAGTTAACAACAGAGCTACCCTATGATCCAGTCCTCAAACTACTGGGCATTTATCTCCAAAATACAAAACACTAATACAAAGGGATACATACACCCCTATGTTTTTAGCAGCATTATTTACAATAGCCAAACCATGGAAGCAGCCCAAGTGTGTCCACTGACAGATGAATAGATAAGAGGCGGGGTATATACACGACGGAAAACTACTCAGCCATAAAAAAGGATGAAATCTTGCCAATTACAACACGGATGGTGCTAGAGAGTATAATGCTAAGCAAAATAAGTCAGAGAAAAACAAATATGATTTCACACGTATGTGGGATTTAAGAAACAATACAAAGGTTAAAAGAAAGAAAGAGAGAGAGAGAGAGACAAACCAAGAAACAGACTGTTAATGACAGAGAACAAACTGACAGTTGAGGGGCGGGGGCTGGGGGCGGGGCTGGGTGAAACAGGTGATGAGGATTAAGGATGCACCTGTCGTGATGAGCACCAGGTGATATCTGGAAGTGCTGAATCGCTATACTGCCATCTGGAACTCATAAAACACTGTATGCTAACTCTACTGCAATTTCAAAACTTAATAAGCAACAATGAAAAACGAAGTACAGAATTGTGTGCATTTGCATCATTTGGGGGAAGAGAATCCACGCTTTTTTATCAGGTTCCCAAGGCAGCTTGTAACCAAACACAAAAGGGGTCAAAACCACTGCTCTAGTCACATTGAAGCTGATACAGTCCAGGATCAGCACTTAACTGCCCCAATGACTTAAGATCAATTTTCTAAAACAATAAGCAAAACTCCCACAACAGGCTAACAGCTGAGCTTCTGGCTTGTTGACCTTCTGTTCCCTAACTAAGGGGTTTTTAATTAAACAAACAAACATCAGGGACTGTTAGAGTCCTCTGTGGGGTGTTAACACATCAAAAGGGAACATTTTTGTTGTTGTTTCTAGGCCCCCACTGTTTGTTTACCACTGTTTTAACTTATTAGATGAACTGTTTCCTTGGGGAACTCTGGGTATTACTGTTATAGGAAACTGTTGCTATATGCCCTCCTCTTTCCTGTGTCAGGCCATGAGCTATCACGGGGTCAAGGAACACACCATAAGCCCCTTACCACAGCTGCCTAGAACAATGTTTGGTACAAAGAAGGCACAAGAAATCTTGATCTTAAGTTCTGGCCATTTACTCCACTGCTCATTACCAAGGTGAAGCAGAACTTTCTTTTTTTTAAAGTACCACTCTTTCTCCCATAAATTCAAAAGAGTAAAGGGAGTTACCAGGACACTAGGATTTAGTAACTAGCTAAAAAGGCACCATCCGGGGAGTCTAAAAAGATTCAAAGAAATGTCCAATAAAGTCTACTGAAAATCTGAGTTTTAGAAATGAGGGAGATTGCTAGTGTAATTTTAGGCTTGAAGCTTTAAATTCAAGACAGTCTTTCACATAGAAGTTCTAAATTTAACCTCGGGCATACCTTCAAAGAGTTAGGTGGTGCTCAGATTCTTAACCCACTGAAGCACCTTCAAGATTAAGGCTCAGAATTTTTAAATAAAAAAAATGTGTAATGGGGAAGTATGATGGAAATTAAAGATCCTAGCAGCAAGCAATCAGTGTTCCTTTTGCTACCGAAGGAGATTTCCAAATTTTGTACCAGCTACAAAATTCTGGTGATTCCCAAAGGTTCCTGCTGATTGTACTAAAGTAGGAAGGCCGCAGAGAACAAGTTTTTCTATGGAAAAGTATTGTGTTCTGCTAGAAGAAAAGAAGACCAATTTTATCAGTAAGTAAAATTTAGATCAAAGTGTTTATCTTCAGTGTTCCCTGCATTAATAAGACTTACTCCCAGTCTTTACCAGGCATTACTGGTGCTATCAGTAAATAAAAAGCACCCATTAACAGAAAGGTATTTTTATCATCAAAGAGTTAAAAAAGGAAGTCAACACTTGCTACAAAGCCGGAAGGCAGCTAACGTACGCTATAAATTGTACATTTCTTCAATAAAATATTCTGGTCAAAAGACAATGTGAGGAAGGAAAAGTTCAAGTTATGAAAATATTGTTCTCTCCAGAATGGATCCAAAGGCCTCTTTTAAAGAGAGATCAAGCCACACAACTGAAACACATGAGACTGAGCGAATCACGAGTACTGCTCAGGACCGCAGTAATACCAATCACAGAAATGTAATTTAACAAGACCATCTACCATTTACTGAGTCATTACTATAGGCCAAGCACAGCACTTAAACTGTGGATTACTTTATTTTGTACTCACCACAATCCTCTGAGGTAAGTACTGTTAGTGTCTCTGTTTTACAGATAAGAAAACTGAGACACAGAAGGGTTCAATGCCTTACTTTAAATTCAGACCCAGGTCTTCTATCTACAAGGATGAAGCTCTTTACCACTACACTATATGAACACTATCCTCTCCTAATTATTCATTGTATTAAGATTTCATTCTTTTTCTGTAGTTCACTATCAATTCCTCTTCTTCTGCTTTAGAGCTTTTAGGAAAAAGCATGGTAAACTAGAAAAACTGTCAACATAGAATATTTACAGAGAAAAGAGAGATGCTTGTCTATCAAAGCAGAAATGTTCGCTTCTTTGCTCTGATTTCTAAAATACATACCGATACAGAGGTAGATATGCAAATCTGTTCAGAAACAATCTTTATTTGCCTTACGAGCTCTTGACTATTTAAAAAAAAATCCAAATGTACTGTTTTGTCTACCAGTAAAACTGAAGCTAGATAAAATATGAGAAATATTATATTACATATGAAAAGATTTGATAATTAAACAGTCTTCTAGTTCTTTTACAATGTGAAATCGTGAAATATATTACAACAAAATGGTTATGATTAGTTCAACGACAGTGACATTAGCTTGTTCCACATAACACACTATGGAAAACAGTAATTCCCTGGAAAGTATTTTAGATTTTCTTTGATGCAAAACACGAGAGAAAACAGAGAAAGGAGCCCCAGTGGTACAGTGACATGAAAGGGGCTTTTTATGCAGAGCCACCAGACCTCACAAAGCAGTTCTGCTCCTGGCTTTATCACTTACTCTGCTTGGTGACCACGGCACTAACTTAGTTTCTCTGTTTGCCTTCTCCACCTGTACAGTCAACAGGTTGAACAGATAATCTCGTAGGCTCTTTCAGTTCTATAAGTCTATGATTCTGAGTCAAAGGACTACTACTGCTATCCTGGATCTTACAGGGGGAATTAATAATTTTCAATCAAAGGAATAGTCCCCATCCTGAGCACAGGTATGAAAACTTCTGGCTGAGGACAGATTTTCTGCCATAAGGTTCAAGATGAACAGGAAATAGACATTTTATCCAAAGACACTCAGAGTGTTCTATAGGCCCATAGACACATGCTCATTAGGGAACAGTCTTTACTCATTCTGTCCATATTTTACATGTTAATCTCCTACTTATGTATAATCTGTACTACATCACTCGAGAAATCACATGTGTGTTTGAAAACCAAATGTTGCATTTTTAAAGGAAGGGCATAATTTTCTTTCAGGTCCTAGGTGTTCGCAAACTTGCAGTGATCCAACTGTCACTAACATCTTACAACTGCCTTGCCTGGCTACCTGAAGAAGTAAGGACAATCTATCAAGATCTGTCCGTCTATCGATTATCTGCCATCTAGCACCCAGTACCTAACCTAGTCAGCCAAAGGTAAAGACGAGCGAGTTAATATTAGTAGAATGAGGGTGATTGGGTACTAGGAACGATAGAGAATGCTTTTAGGTATGCAACATCAGCTCCGTTTCACTGACGAGGACATTCACACTCGGAGATTAATTTGGCCAAGGTCACACAGCTAGTAAATGATCAGGCAAGAGGGTACTCGAGGAGCTCCCCAGTGGAACAGAAAGAGATAAATGTCATTCTACCGCAGCACCCTCCAAAAGAATGCATATCATTTAGAACTTAGTCCATCCCCTTAAGAGAAATTCAGGAAGCTTTGGGCAAGTAGATAATTCATAGTTTTAGCACGCTTTAAGGCTTAATGTAGTAGGTATCATCAACAGGCACTACGAATAATAAGGGAAAGCAAGTCAATAGTATGTCAGCTGTAACAAGACAGAGTGATACTCTTTAAGAAAAACAGCCCTTTGGCGGGATGATGACCACAGCTGGTATACGGTACAGGTGCGCCCACTCATGCATATGTGTATACAAATACACCAGCTTCCTTGGAAGCACAGATAAGTGCATTATCTGGTTCACTATATGAATCACTACATGTATCTACCGAATAAAAAAAAAAAACAACTTACCTTGGATGAGACTATTCTATTATCACAAAATCTTTGTGCAATGTAAGCTTCTGTTTCTGAAACTGGATGATTGCCAACAAACACTGTGCGCGTACCGACTCTTTTCTCTTCTCCAGCACACTGACCAAGAGAAAGGGGGGAAAAGTCAGTTTCTTATCACATTTGTCCATGCTTCTGCTGAGTTCAGAGTCTTTGCGGAAGCACATCTGACAATCCCCGAGAGAGAGAGAGCGCACCAGCGAGGAGAGAAAACCCTGTTAGGCTATTCAAACTCCACTGGGCTCTTAGCTGCTGACTTAGTGAAGATTAGTGAGAGGGCTGCTTGAGACAACTGTGCTGAGGCCAACCCTACTATTTTAAAATGTGTAAATTAAAAGAAATCCTAGAAGAACAGTATTTTTATTGCCATTTTTCTTTCTTCCACAAAATCTCAACTGTCACCATCACAGCAACACACTCGAAAGGTCAGATTGGGAATATTTAATATATCACACAACAACCACTGAAGACCATTTTGTCAGTTCCTTACCAGAGAACACAAAGCAGAATGCAGATTACTTTTACATAGAAAATAATTACTTTTAAGTACAGAGATACAGAATGGCTACCTCGGGCCACCTGGGTGGCTCAGTGGGTTAAGCGTCTGCCTTCAGCTCAGGTCATGATCTCAGGGTCCTGGGATCGAGCCCCGCATCAGGCTCCTTGATCAGAAGGAAGCCTGCTTCTCCCCTGTGTGCCATTCCCCCTGCTTGTGCTTGCTCTCTCTCTCACTCACGCTGTCAAATAAATAAATAAAATCTTAAAAAAAAAATAGAATGGCTGTCTCTAACAATGATCAACTATTTCTACAAAGAAAAGTTGTAATTCTTTGGTTTTACAGGAAAGACATCCTTTGTGATTTCTCAGAGCCTACTGTCAAAAAGTCCCATTTCACACAATGTATCTCTGATGTCCATTTTACATTTTTAATTTTAATTTAATTTTACTTTCTTTCTTTCTTTCTTTCTTTCTTTCTTTTTTTTAAGAGAGGGAGACGGGGCTCAGGGCAGAGGAAGAAGAAGAGAGAGAGAATTCCCAAGCAGGTTCCACGGCCAATGTAAAGCCTGAAGCGGGGCTCGATCTCACAACCCTGAGATAATGACCACAGCCAAAACCAAGAGTCAGTTGCTTAACCAACTGAGCCACCCAGATGCCCCCCCACTTCTACATTTTAAAAGAAGGTTCTAGAAGTTCTAGAATCTAGAAGTTCTGAGGTTGAGCTCCATTTTACCTTACTTTTTTATTTCACTGAAGCTTTACCTTGTTTTTAAAGATTCTCCAATAAGCTTATTTTGCAAATTTTTTGTGATTTATGTTTTATTGGCTTACAGTGTTATAAAGAGAAAAATGTATACAATTTTGAACACTGAGCTATTTATCATTTTAATATGAATTCAGATATTCTTTAGTTTATTTCTAATTGACCTTCAAATGCAGCAGCTCGTAAGTTTAGTGTAAGTACTCTTGCCACCCTATCCTACCCCAACACTGAGTCAGAATGCAAGATACAGATACATATACAAATACAAAACACACATAAACAAGACACAAACAAGTCTTTCATGAAGTAAACAAATCTTTTATAATGTAAATAACGGTTCCCTTTTGGAACTTTGCATATCCAGTGCAGCCTTTTCTGAAACTGGGATATTCACATTTATCAGACACAATCTTTATAAAGCGAAGCATTTATCTCTTTGCAAACTCAGGTAATTCTTGAGAGCAGTATTTTTCTTACTGATCTGAAAAGAACGGAGTGTTGAAGGCCAAAGAGGAAAAACACCTGAAATCATCAGAACAGAAGAGGTCTGAAAAATAATATATCTAATAGTGTAGGGAGAAATATCTTAAGTCTAGATTCTACTGAAAATCTTGATATTCAAAGGAATAGCTTTGGACCCACTGCCAAAAACTCAGATGTTTTTCTCAGTTAATTACAATGAAGAATGTTTATTTCAGAAGATACATTAAGTCTTTGAAGTAAGAATGAAAGGATCATACAATTTAATTTCTATATAAATGACTGAATATACAAAGTATCAAACATAAACAGCAGTGTAGCAAGAAAACAAATTAACAGAAATAATTACTCCACAGTAGCAATAATTAAGCCCACCATTTGAAAGATCTTCTAAACACCATGAACAAAAATTGTTGTTATAAGGGGCGCCTGGGTGGCTCAGTGGGTTAAATCCTCTGCCTTCAGCTCAGGTCATGATCCCAGGGTCCTGGGATCGAGCCCCACATCCGGCTCTCCGCTTGGTGGGGAGTCTGCTTCCCCCTCTCTCTCTCTGCCTGCCTCTCTGCCTACTTGTGATCTCTCTCTCTGTCAAATAAATAATAAAATCTTAAAAAAAATTGTTGTTATAAGATTTTACAGCACACAACTCAATTCAGTTCTAATGCACTACTATTATACCTCTTTCTTCTTCAGTATTAGTGGACCCACATCATTTCCTATCAATTCACGGTGTTTATTATGCGAACCATCACATTCAGGAAAGTCCTAGAACACCAACACTGACAATAAGCTGCTTTAGTAACACACAGATCTTCGATGTTTACTTCATTTACTACTTTGGGATTTTCCTTTTGTATTTTAAGATTCATCAAGCTTGGGGGACCTGGGTGGCGCTGCCCATTAAGTGTCAGACTCTTGGTTTTAGCTCAGGTCATGAACTCAGGGTCAGGAGATAGAGCCCTGCCAAGGGCTCCCACTCAGCCTCAGCCCCAAGTCTGCTTATGTTTCTCTCTCCCTCTGCCCCAACCACCCCACGCTTTCTCTCTCTCTCAAATAAGTGAATAAATCTAAAAAAAAAAAAAAAAGATTAATCAAGCTATTGTTCTGTTGTTTTTTCTTTGAGAAGAATGGGCGAATTGCAAGGGAGCTACGCAGTGCAAGTACACTACAGAAAGGTAATAACCGAAGCCATTCGGAACCCCTGAGCTGAGTGAACCGGTTATGCTCTGGGGGACAGAGAGCTGCTTTAGCTGCGGGAAGCTGCACGATCAGGATGTGGGCCAGCTCTCCCGCCCCATCGTCCCCAGCAGCTACCACTCCTGAGACCCACTGCTCTCCAGTGGAGCTGCCATGCCTCTATTCTGTCTTCTTCCCTTAAATCAGGATAATACACTTTTTTAAAAAGGACTTTATTTGAGAGATTGAGAGAGAGCATGGATGCCGGGGTAGGGGGGGCAGAGAGGGAGGGAGAAGCAGACTGCCCACTGAGCAGGGAGCCTGAGATGGGGCTTGATCCCATGACCCAGAGATCGTGACCTGAGCTGAAACCAACAGTCAAACACTTAACCAAGTGAGCCACCCAGGAGCCCCTGGAATGGTCTCCTTTGGTGTTACTATATTTATCATGATTCAGACAACCAGACATTAGAGTCAAAAAAAGATAGGAACCAATATCCACATACATATTTCCATTATTTTTTTAAAAAGATAATTCCCGGGGCGCCTGGGTGGCTCAGTGGATTAAAGCCTCTGCCTTCGGCTCAGGTCATGATCCCAGGGTCCTGGGATCGAGTCCCGCATCGGGCTCTCTGCTCAGCAGGGAGCCTGCTTCCTCCTCTCTCTCTGCCTGCCTCTCTGCCTACTTGTGTTCTCTGTCAAATAAATAAATAAAAATCTTTAAAAAAAAAAAAAAAAGATAATATCCTAGCCCAGAAAGTTTTAAAGTACATAGGCTCAGGGATTTTCCTTCCTTTCAATGATCTATTTAAAAGCTAAAGATGTAATAATCCTGACCCTAAAATAATCATTTTTTAGCAAGACTACTTAGAGACTGCGGGGCGCCTGGGTGGTTCAGTGGGTTAAAGCCTCCGCCTTCAGCTCAGATCATGATCC